ATAAGAAACTTAGTGGACGTCCACTTAAGTTGACAGAAGTTTTGCTCTATATATATATATATATATATATTAATTATAATACTTTTCATAAATACTTAGTAGTCTAGTGGAAAGTTAAAGTTTTGGTGTTTCAAAAGGTCCTTTGTTCGAGGCTTGCCAACAGCAAACCAAGAAGTGTTTTATTTTAATTAATCTCTCATAAGTTCTAGTGGGCCGTGGGCCAATGGGCCGGGGATCGGGACTAATCGAGTTAAGATGATAAGTGACGCTTTGTGAGGCGCATTTTGCACTTCGCACGGAGGCATCGGGGCTAGGTGGCGCCACGAAGGTTGTCTCGCAGGCTGCTTCGCAACATGCAGACGAGCTATGCATTCGCACGAGGGTGTGACCCTAGAGTTCTCAAGATCAGACGACGCTCCTCTATTTGACGAGGTTTGTCAATTGGTTGACAAGGTTCACCTGTTCGATGAGGTTTGCCCGTTCGACGAGGTTCGCCCGTTCGATGAGGTTCGTCCTATTGACGTTCGCCCGTTCGATGAGGTTTGTCCTATTGACGATGTTCGTCTGATTTGCTGAGACGCGATCCTCGCGTTGCAAAGTAACGCATCCATGATTGCCTTAATTTCAGGCATTATTGCGTGCAGTAGTTACAACAACATTTAAATTAATTGATGTTACAATCATAATTGTCATTGTGATTTGTAACGGTCACATTGATTATGGGTGACTTTTGAGCTAGCTTTGGAGCCCTAACTATAGCGCCCCTTGGGGCAGCTCTTGGAGACACGGATGTTAGAGCTCTTATACACACGAAATATATTGAGTTGTTGTGCTGCTACTGCTGAAACTGTGCTCGAACGAACTTTCCCTTAAACCAAAAGATTTTGAACCAAAATGTTCTGAGATCGAGGAGATATTTGCCTTGACCAAAAGATCTTATAGATCAAGGAGATCTTGACAGTACTAGGTTGGTACACACCAAAGTACTGTATTGTTGTTCCTGAAAGCAGTTTGGCCTTAGAATCCTTGCACTGGAGTAGACCAAATATTGCTTTAAGCATAGCATTTCACAAACGCACAATAGATAATTTTAAAAAGTTTAAATTTACAGCATATCAATTTTTACTGTTTCATTTCAGATTTAATCACAATCTCCAACAATCTTAAAGCAATATATCTGATCTATTATGGATCCCGCGAGGACACTTAGAGTGGATTGTCTCAAGTTAGAGAATTTTGACGGATCCAACTTTAACGCATAGCGTCAGAAAGTGATCTTCGGGATGCAACTCCTGAAAATCTACTATGTGGTTTCTGAGGAGAAACCCGACTTTGAAGATTCTGAGTCTGAAGCTTCTTAGGCTAAATATGATTATTTCTGCAGGAGTTATCTCCTTAACTGCCTGGCCGATCATCTGACTGATGCTTACACCAACAAACCCTCTTCAAAAGAAATCTGGAATGCTCTGGAGGACCAATATAAAGATGAGGAGAAGCTGTCCAAGTCTCACCTCATTGATAAGTTTCTGGACTTGAAGTTCAAAGATGACACTGAGGTTTTGCCTCAAGTCAAAGAACTTGAAAATCTTGTTATGAAACTGAAGGATGAACAGATCAATCTTTGTCAAACCTTTATTTATGGTGCAATTGTTAACAAGCTTCCTCTATCTTAGATGACATTCTATATGGACATTCGAAGAAGGAAAAGATAGGTGACTATGTCTGATTTGAAGAGGTTCATTCGGATCGAGGACGAGATACGAACTCGTATGAAGGATGAGCTCCTTGCTAAACAGAAGTCGTTTGCTAACATGATGGCTGCTAACTCTAAGAAGTGTACTAGTTCTTCTTCAAGAAGAAGAAAAAGTCATTTAATAAAAAGAAGAACCAAAACCCAAAGAATCTAAATATTTAAAAGAAAGATTTCAAGAAGAGCGGCAAATTCTTTAACTGTGGGAAGCAAGGACATTTTACCAAGGACTGCAAAGCACCAAAGAAGGGAGCAACGCATAATGTTAATCAAGTTGACAATTGTGTGGCTATACTCTTCCAAGTGACAACTCCCAACAACGTCTCTGATTGGTGGGTAGATACAGGTGTTACCTGTCATGTCTGCTCCAACAGAGATTTATTCTCTTCTTATGTTGCTGTCAAAGAGAACGTATAAATCACTAATCGTTTTGTGGTTCCTGTTCTTGGAACTTGGACTGTGGTGCTAACTCTTTCTTCAGGAAAAACTCTCACATTGAATGATGTAAAACATGTTCCCTCAATTATAAAAAAAACTTAGTCTCTGAAAGCCTGTTGTGTGACGCAGGTATAAGATTGGATTTTCAAGGAGGAAAGGCTGTGTCATCTTTTAATAAAATATATTTTGGCAATGCATATCATACTTATGGCATGCATAAGATCAGTACTATTATATCCAACTCAGTTGTAAATGAAGTATCATCTTCTGCTTACTCCTCTGTATTATGGCATAATAGGATGGGACATGTAAATTATAGAAAGTTGTCCATAGAGAAATTAGGATTACTTCTAAAATATGGGGATAACAAATCTGAGAAGTGTGAAATTTTCGCAAGCGAAGCTGATAAGGAAGCCCTTCCCAAGTGTCACAAGGAGTACTAACCTCACTGCTGGATTTTCATCTTTTAGCGACGAAAATTTTCGTCGCTAAAAGTTAATATTCCGTCGCTAAAAGTTTTAGCGACGGACAAAATAAAATTCTGTCGCTAAAATTCCGACACTACATTTAGGGTCCCTAAAAAGTGTATTAGCGACGGATTTTCCATCGCTAATTATCAGCGACGGTATATTAGTGACGATCAGTTGGTCGTTATTTAAAAACTAAAAAAATAATAAAAAACTTATTAGCGATGGAAATTCCGTCGCTAATAGTTTTTTAGCAACGGAAATTCCGTCGCTAATAGTTTGTTTTTATAATGTTATATTTTCTTCTCGTTCATGTTTTTCGTTGCTAAAAAAGTTTTAGCAACGGAATTTCCATCGCTAAATACATATTTAGCGACGGAATTTTCGTCGCTTAAAAGTAACAATTTTTAAAAAATATTTTGAAAAATATTTTAAAATTTTAAAAAACCCTGTATAATATCGATAATAATTTTAAAAAACCTGTTCAATCAGCAGTATAATATTCAATCTCACGCATATATCACACATTTATTTCAATAAAAGCAAATAAAAGTTTCTCGACAGGTACATAATAAATATTGTTTATACAACACAAGAAATTGTTTTCAAAGTTATATTAAGGACAATCAATCCTGCTGATCATCATCATCCTCAACACCAGCTGCATTATGACTACCTCCGGCTACATCTTGTGAAGAAGTCCCAGCCTGTAAATATAAATCAAACGTTAACTAGGGTGTGTAACCGTTAATAAGAGTGCAAATATAAATATAATTCTCCCAACACCACAACACAATACCACAACACAATACAACACAACACCACAACACAACAACATAACGTAATACAACACAACACCACAACACCACAACGCAATACAACACAACACCACAACACCACAACACAACAACACACAACACAACACAACACTACACTGCACAACACATCACCACACAACACAACCCTAACCCTAACCCTAACCCTAATCCTAACCCTAACCCTCGTCTAACCCAAACCCTAACCCTAACCCTCGTCTAACCCAAACCCTAACCCTAACCCTAACCCTCGTCTAACCCTAATCCTAACCCTAACCCTAACCTTCACCCTCACCTAACCCTAACCCTAACCCACAACCTCAACCTCACCCTCACCTCCACCCTCACCTAACCCTAAACCTAACCCTAACCCTAACCCTAACCCCGAAACTCAACCTCACCATCACCCCCACCCTCACCTAACCCTAATCCTAACCCCCAACCTCAACCTCACCATCACCCCCACCCTCACCTAACCCTAACCCTAACCCTCACCCTCAACCTCACCTTCACCCTCTACTAACTCTAACCATAACCTTAACCCTCAAACTCACTCTCACCCTCACCCCCACCCCTCACCCTCACCCTCACCTAACCCTAACCCTAACCCCTCACCTAACCCTCACCTAACCCTAATCCTAACCCTAACCCTCGCCTAACCCTAATCCTAACCCT